TGAAAGTTCACCTAACTCTATTATGAGGTCAAAAACGAACCTTAATACTCTTATCCAAGGTCAAGTCCGAACCTCGTTAAAGTTCATCCGACTCTAGTTTAAGACCGAGTTCGACCTTCACGAAAATTACCCAACAAAAGCTCGAAGGCAAGTACGAACCTCGGCACTACCAAATCAAGGTCAAGTTCAAACCTTTACAAGAATCACCAAAAACCCGAAATCAAATACGAACAGCAAACGTCGAACACGCGTCCCACGTCGCAAACAGCAAAAAACAAATCCAAGAGCGGAAAGGCTAAAAGAAAGCAAAAACGCAAAAAAAGACAAAGAAAAATATATATATACAAGCAATATCCCAAATTCCATACTTGAATTCCAACAAAAAAATAAAACAGAAAAATATTAACTGGCCTATGCAGAGGCGTTTTCACTGGAGCTACCCTTGAGGTCGTCCTCCTTTACCAACTTCCCAAAGCGGACTACCTTCTCCACATGCATCACAGAGAAGTCGAACCCCGGGGCGAGAAGCTTTGCCTGACGAGCCACCTTGAGGAAACCGCGCTTATGCTCAACCACGATAGCTCGTTTGGTTTCCCCCAGCCTCTTCTCCAGCGCCACCCTCTCTGCCTCCTTCCTTGCTAGGTCCGTTTTAAGGCGGCGACCTCCTCCTCTTTGCCGCCAATCACGACCTCGTCGCAGAGGCGCTTCTCGGTCACTTCATCCTCCAAAGAGCGAACCCGACCACGGGAAGACGTCATCTCATCTTCGAGGAAGCGCACCCGACTTCGGGACGAGGAGGCCAACCCCTGCAGCTCGCCCACCTGAGAAGCATAGTTCTCGTTCGAGCGCAGAGCAATCTCCAGGGACTTCTGCACCCTCGCAAGATCCCCCCTCGGGGCTCGCAGTTCGACACTTAGGCCCTTGTTCTCCTCCTTCAGGACCTTATTCTCCCCCTTTAGGACCTTGTTCTCATCCCTCAGGGGTTGAACTTGGCCCCTCAGTCTGGCTAAGTCCTCCTGCTGTTTGGACCACTGAGGCTTCTAGTGGCCCACAATGGCCATAACCCTCTGTAGAAGGACCTGGGTAGCGTCAAAACTATCCACGGGCCCGACCTCGTCTATCAGCCCCTAGTCTTCGGAGCTCAGCGAGCCTTGAGGGAAGAACTTCTCGGCAGTCACCCCCGTGCTCCACAACGAGTCCATGTCAGCCGAGGCACTCACATGGTCCAATCGCACCTTTGATAGGCCCTTCCCGAAGCGGTGGGCTATGTATCGGCTCCGGGAAGCCCCCTACGACGAACCAGACGGCGGCGCCGAAGCTGCAGGGGTGGACACGGGGACCTCAAGACTTGGCCCTTTACCACGAGCCTCGACAGAGGCGGAAGCCGGCGTCCCCTGCTCGGCAACTGGAAAGTCCACGATAGCAACCTCCGACCTCGCCTGCGAAAACCAGCGCCATGTCAAAAAAGAGAAAAGACAACATACAGGAAATCATGAAAATCTGGGAACACTACTTACCTCAACAACATGGGTAGCCTGCTCGGTGGCTGGAGTCGCCACCTCGGCAGCCTGGGCGGCCTGCCCAGCAGCCTGGGTCGCCACCTCGGCAGCATCTCTTGTCTGCGAAAGACGGGCCTAGGTCAGGACACAGAAAAACACAATAAAAGACATCAAAAAGCCGAAGAGACAAGGTACTCACCACCTCGGCAGATTGAGCAACCTGCTCGGCAGTCTGAGCCATCCCCTTAGAGGCCACCTGAGGAGCCCCCTTGGGCGGTGACTCTCGGTAAGGTCCACTACACCAGCGTCGGCAGCCTTGGAGGTCACCTCCTCGGCCTCCAGAGGGGCAAAGGTCCCCCCGACCTCCTTCGCTCCCCTCTTTCTTTTTCGGTTAACTTTCAGGGGGGAAGCATCTTCCTCTCGAGGCTCGGGGACCTCGAGCTCGGTAACATTGTAGCGATGCTTTAACTCACGCCACAAGTTCTTCCCCATGATACCTACAGACAGGAAATAAAACACATCAGCAAAGGGAATTTACACAAACTCCGACAAACCACCAAAAAACAAAATACTCACTCTCCAAGCCCCTCTCCCTGTACGCCGAGTTCGCAAGCGACAGAACGAGCTTGCAATCCAGC